TCAAGGAAAATAAACAAAATTTGGTTTGTGATTGCGTTTGAAAGTTTCAGTTTGGAAATTTCGTGATCAGCATTTTTCAGCGATTTTTTTTTTTTGGCGCGACACATTTTTGAATTATTGTAGTTTCCTTATTTGAGTTTGTAGGAAACAACCGCAAATACTCGAGATAAGACAACTTCCTTTAATTGTTTTGTGTGTGTGTGTGCGTGACATGAAATTCAGCACCGGGATTGGAAATCTGCGTGTTTTCTGAGTTTTGACCGGCATCGCTGATATCTATGTGACCCATGTAGGACGCGCGCAAACAAGTATGAATTGCAAACCTAAATTTTCGTATGGTAGCGGAATTTTCGCATGGTAGCGGTACGCTTTTCCCTCGGAGACCTTTTCGATCACTATAAGAGACATCAATGTCCGTGCGGTATGCCACTCTCTCACCTTCTTTTTTTTCCAAACAGATGGCCAAAGTTCTCCAAGCGGGGAAAAACAGATCCACAATATGATCATTGATAGCTTTTACAGGTACCGTGGGTATTTAAATTTGCCCGCGGAGAGGTGTATCATTTTAAATTTTGCGTGCGGTGTCCAATACGATTGGAAACTCCAGGAGAATAGTGTATAGTGGCGATTCTCCTTTAACATAATCATACATAATCCAATTTTTCTTTTCATGCGTGGGAATGCTGGTTATTTCCAGTTACCATGATGCCTTTCCAATTTCCAATGCTGAGTTTCAATGTGTAGAAACGGTGGAAACAGGGCTGAAATTTTCTAATGCACAGCACTGGGGGAGGAGTCCGAAATATTTGTGTTCATGCTCAATCCCATGCATGGTTCCCGGATACACTGAAACCAAACGATTGGAGACTAATTATTCACTTGAGACTGCATAGATCTCCCATAGACATTCACATGCAAATGCATGAGTGGCATAAGCACTGAGATGGAGTGAGAACAGGGGCTTGCCGCTGCGATTGCATTCGCGTTCCCAAATAATTTCCAAGACGCCTTTGATGCTACAGTCTTATCTTTCTCAAGTAATTTCCCAGACGCTCTTGATGATATGTTTTTAATTGTCTCAATCAAATAATTTTTTAAAACCTTTTTGATGCCGCGCACTGTGTTTTTTTCACGTAACTTGCAAAAAAAACCATAACGAGCCCCGCCCGAACCCGAAGTCGAACCTCCCCCACCCCCCCTCAAAAAAAAACGGTTCGCTGGGCTAATGAAACAGTTTTCGGCAGTAGGATTTGTACAAATATTGCTCGCAATGACCACCGAAGCCGAACCCGTACCCGAACCCGAACCCGAAGTCGAACCTCCCCAACCGCCCCTCGACCAAAAAAAAACAGTTTTCTGCAGCAGGATTTGTACAAATATTGCTCGCAATGACCACCGCAGCCGAACCCGAAGCCGAAGCCGAACCCGAAGTCGAACCCCCCCCAACCCCCCCTCGACCAAAAAAAACAATTTTCTGCAGCAGGATTTGCACAAATATTGCTCGCAATACCCACCGAAGCCGAACCCGAAGCCGAAGCCGAACCCGAAGTCGAACCCCCCAACCCCCCCTCGACCAAAAAAAACAATTTGCTGCAGTAGGATTTGCACAAATATTGCTCGCAATGCCCACCGAAGCCGAACCCGAAGCCGAAGCCGAACCCGAAGTCGAACCTCCCCAACCCCCCCTCGACCAAAAAAAAGTAGTTTTCTGCAGCAGGATTTGCACAAATATTGCTCGCAATGCCCACCGAAGCCGAACCCGAACCCGAAGCCGAACCCGAAGTCGAACCTCCACAACCCCCCCCTCGACCCAAACAAACAGTTTGCTGGCATGATGCAGCAGGATTTGTGCAGATATTGGACCACCGAAGCCGAACCCGAACCCGAAGTCGAACCTCCCCCACCCCCCCCTTCGAACAAAAAAGCAGTTTGCTGGCATGATGCAGCAGGATTTGTGCAGATATTGGACCACCGACGCCGAACCCGAACCCGAAGTCGAACCTCCCCAACCCCCCCCTCCACTACAACAAACAATTTTGTAAGCGTTCCATGGCAGCAACATTTGTCAAAGACCCTACCCTATCGATGTGGTCTGCCCCCCCCTTATATATATATATATTTTTTTTTTCCCCCCCTTCGGTAGCTCAAGTATAACGTGTGTCTTTCCTCATTCCCAGGCAGTCTGGCTTCTGTTTGCTAGCGGTAGCTTCCACATACATCTTTTTTATCCTCCTCTGACCTTTTTCCCCTGTGACTTGCCCATAGAAGACCAACCCCCTCTGGCAACATGCTGTTGTCCCAGCTGACTTGCCCATAGAAGACGAACCCCCTCTGGTAACCTGGCCCTGCCGGCATGTGGTTTCGGGCGGTCCTGGTGCGCCAATGTGAGACGGTGTCGGATACACCCCTCGCAAACTACTGCCAGGCCCACCTACGATATCCCTCATCAGAAAAGCAGAAGAAGAAGCCATGCAAACTACCTTTTTCAAGGCACTGCGCTTCCTGCATACTTCCTGGCCATGCACGCAGAAAAACATTCCTGCCATGACCTGACTTGTCATAACTGCTTGCTTTCCTTTCCTGCTGTGACAACGCCACACAGGTGGATGATACGGCCCACCTACGCTGCAACCTGGCCCTCCTGGCATGTGGTTTCGGGCGGTCCTGGTGCGCCACTGTGAGATGGTGTCGGATACACTCCTCGCAGCGGCAATCCTCGGCCGCTGTCCCACTGCTCTCTGGCCATGCATGCAGAAAAACTACTGCCAGGCCCACCTACGATATCCCTCATCAGAAAAAGAACACGCAGATGCAGCAAACGAAGAAGAAGCAGAAGCAGAAGAAGAAGAAGAAGAAGACGAAGAAGAAGCAGAAGAAGAAGCAGAAGCAGAAGCAGAAGAAGAAGAAGAAGAAGAAAAAGAAGCAGAAGAAGACGAGGAGGACAACAAAGACAAAGACGTCACCAGCGAACAGACATGCGGAGGAGGAGGATAAAGAGGAGCGAACATACACAGGCTCACGTCGTCCCTGGCCTGCTCATAACAAATCCAACACATGGGCCGACAATGATTGCTCCACCGCAGTAACACCCGAACCAGAACCCGAACCTCCGACCCCGACGTCACCCCGCAGTCGCATCCCACGCCGAACCCGAAGTCGAACCTCCTCCCCCCTCCTCCCGCCCCCCTCTTCCCCCCAAGAGGGACAAACGTTCAAACAATCTTTGGTGAACCGAAACCCGCGTCGAATCTCCAAAGCGAACGTCGCCGCCACAGCCGAACCCGAAGTCGCACCTCCTTCCCCCCTGCCCATACAAGTAGCACCTGAACCCGAACCCGCCGTCCAACCTCATAACCCGAAGTCGAACCCGAACCTGGCCCCCCCCCCATTATACTGTGTACAGATCCCGCCTTACACGCAAACCTCTCTCTCGCAGAACAACTTTCGCGAACCTCCGAACCCGAAGTCCAAGTCGAACCACTTCCGAGGTGGCCGCGGTTCTTCCGTCTCTTCTTCCACGTCCATCCCCGAACCCGAAGCCGAACCCGAACCCGAAGTCGAACCTCCTTCCCCCCCTTGCCCAAAGAAGCAGCACTTGAACCCGAACCCGCCATCGAACCTCCGAACCCGACGTCGGCCTCGAACCTGGTCCCCTCTCTGCCGCAGTACAACTCTCGCGAACCTCCGACCCCGAAGTCGAAGTCGAACCACTTCCGAGGTGGCCGCGGTTCTCCCCTCTCTTCATCCCCGGCCAACCCCGAACCCGAAGTCGAACCCGAAGTCGAAGTCGAACCACTTAGAAGGCGGCCGGGGTACTTACTGAAAAAAACATCAACTAAATAAAAAAACAAAAAACATAGAGGACAAAATCAAACACCTTGGCAGGGGTTCTTAAAACGACACCTATATTTGAACGGAGTTACAATTTTTTTTGCTGCCATGAAACATGGAAAAAATGATTGAAACTTGAAAACAGACGCGAGGGTTGCACATGTGCACGATCAGATCAAAAAAATGCGAATTTGATGAGTGGCACAACTCCAGCGCTCCTGCAAGCGACGTGACTATGTTTGTGCTTGAGTCGTTTGAGCAAACACTATTTTCAAATGTCGATTTCAAAAAATTAACCAACCAACATTTTGCTTGATGCTGCCAGAATTGTTTTTTCAAAATTTGAACCTTTTCCAAAACATATCCTGGATTTTGCTGTTTGGAAAAATCAAAACATTTGCCTGTGTTTACCCCACCTTCCGCTTGCTGTCCGAGACATTTGTTTCCAATTTTGTTTTGTTGGAAATTGTTTCAAATTTTCACTCACAAACCATTGTCCATCCTTCACAGTGATCAAACATCCCACCGAAAGGTTCCATCAGCAAAATGAGAACGGAAAGGTTACCTCAGCGAAATGAAAACAAACAAAGACGTTTTCATTAAACCAATGTGTTGCGTTTGTTCGTATTCATTTGAGACTTCATGCATCCCTTTCGGGTGATACAGGCAGCTTTGCGATCCCCGTTTTTTTTATACCACACAAACATATCACCGCCACACACACAACTTGGTGTTATAGGGAACCGATTTGGTTACAGTCTCAATTTCCAATTCGTGGGGTTCAAGACGAAGACCCGATAATTTTTAATTGAACACAACGTGTTTGATTGATTGGAATGGATGAACGGGAATTTGTTATGCTGCCACGTGCCTGTGGCCGTGGACGGCAGCAATTCGGTTTGGCCTGGATACTGGCCGCGTCCTCAAGAACGGCTGCGTTTGCATTGCGCGAAAAAGGGTGCATTTCATTTGCGAAATTTACCTTTTCAGTTTGGGGCATGAAGCAGACGAATGCTGCAACATTTTCTGGTTGACACATAGTCAGTTGCAGACAAATTCAATTTTGAATGACTTGAATAGTTTTGTTTAATCCAATTCCTTCGGTGTTTTGTTGGTCAAAAAACCACCACAAATGACGTCCCATGGTTCAGGTTTTTGCGGTGGTTGCTATGCCTGGCAGGAACGAAGGGTGGGGAAGGATGTTTTGGTCTGACGACCACAAATGCACAGCAAGAAACCCACAAAATTGGTGATTTGTACCGTTTATCCATCGCAAAATGAAGGTCAATCATTTCGAATCACACCCAAATCGAATCGTTCAAAACATGGTAACTACATAGGTTGACAGAGGATTGGCAAAACCATGGCAGTGAGAGGATGGGGATGTTTGAAACAAGCAATTGAAGGCATCAGCCGGCAGCTGCATTTATGGAGGCCCGCAGCATGTTTAAACACGGGTGGTGTTTTTGCCATTGGCGCGTTGTTTTGTTTTGTTTACTTTCGCAGCTTTGAGACATCTTCAAAGATATATCAGATATTGGTAAGCACCCAACGAGTATCACAAGGGTGTGTTTTCAAAAAAATGGCATCGATTAGGTTGAACCCATCGGTTCTGCAAATTTAGTGACCTCACACTGTCCATTTTTTTCCCCCAATTTCCAGTGTTGATTTATCAACATTTCAACAAAAAATCATACCATTTGGGTCAGTGTAACAGGGCTTGGCGGCCCTGAAGTTGCATCGGATCTTTTACATCAACCTGGACAGCGTTGGGACGGGTGTGGGTCATCCCTGGGGGTTTGCAAGATTTCAAAGAACCGAAGGAACCCCCAGGGAACATGTTTTGCCGTTTTGCTTTGTATCATTTTGTATCACTTGCTCAGAACTTGCTTTGTGTTCAAGTGGTGGATGTAATTTTTGTTCGCCAGTGTGTTCTAGGCTAGGTCTTAAAGTTAAAGGCAGACGTGATTAAAAGCCAAGGCACATCAGCTGAGTATCGGTGGATCGTATTCCCCTAGTGACCGTAGTTATGGCAGCCATTTCGTTACTTTGTTTGGTATGTTTGGGCAATTCTTATTTTAAAATGCGATTGGTTCAATAATTGAGTTTTAAAGTTGGTGCGGGTTGCCCTCTGGCGATCAAAATCACCGATATCAATGCGATCTAACCTATGGATTATCAATGGGCGATGGCGGCCATGGCGGCCATGGCGGCCATGTTTGCAAACCGTTACCCGAGGAACGTCGCCCCCTGCGGCGGAAACGATTTGAAGAGCGAGCAGAGGCGGAGATCCAGGCAAAGCAAATCTCAAATAGAAAATAGTGAAGTAACATCCCAAAAGAAAAATCGTAAAAAACAATAAAAAACAACTATCTTTCTTGGAGGGTACTGTACACCATTGTACATCCAAATCCAAGGTGGCTGTGTCCTGGGATCGATCGATCCTGGTCACGATTTTCGATCCTGGCAGGTGCTGGGTCTCAAAAACTTCCTGTCGAGGCGTGCCTTCCCTCAGATTGATATACAGTACACTGACAGTACATTTACAGTACATTTACAGTGCATCATTCTGGTCCCAACTTTGAAATCAAATATCTCAAACGTGACAAGGAAAAAAAAAATCAACAACGAACATGCGCACAAATTTCCTTGTCAAATTTTTTCCTTGTCATTTTTTCCTTGTCACGTTTGAGATATTTGTGCGCATGTTCGTTGTTGAAAAAAAAAATCCTTGTCACGTTTGAGATATTTGTGCGCATGTTCGTTGTTGAAATTTTTTCCTTGTCAAAATTTTTTCCTTGTCAAAATTTTTTCCTTGTCACGTTTGAAAAACAATTTTCCTTGTCACGTTCAAAAAAAAAAATCCTTGTCACGTTTGAGATATTTGTGCGCATGTTCGTTGTTGAAATTTCCATGGCATGCGTACATGTTTGCAGCATTTTGGGCTGCCAATCCCTGAAAGAGTCCCGAAAGAGGACGAAAGCTTGGACAAGTAGTTTAGGGCAGTTCCAGGAAAAAACTGCGTTGTGCTTTGACCTGCGGTTTGAGTGACCTCGTTCAAAGTTGTACATTTACAGTACATTTACAGTACATTTACAGTGCATCATTCTGGTCCCAACTTTGAAATCTCCGGTGCCAGGTTCCCCGCAGTGGATGGATCCAAAGTCGATCTGGCCAGGCAGCATATCACTTTGGCTTGTCGGCTTCCAATGCATTGAGGATTTGTTGATGAAAATACATGAATTCTTGCTATCCAACCAATGTTTTGAACGTTTTCCAGACATATCCCGATTTGTTCCGAGTGAATACACCATCTTTTTGGGTGGATATACACATGTCTATACATACATATACATATACATATACATATACATATACATATACATATACATATATACATATACATATACATATACATATCATATACATATATATTTATATACATACATATACATATACATATACATATACATATACATATACATATACATATACATAATCATATACATATACATATACATATACATATACATATACATATACATATACATATACATAATCATATACATATACATATATATATACATATACATAGACATAGACATAGACATAGACATAGACATAGATACATACATACATACATACATAAATACATACATACATACATACATAACAAAACAAGACAAGACAAGACAAGACAAGACAAGACATAACATAACATACATGCATACACACATACACACATACACACATACACACATACATACACACATACACACAGACATACACACATACACCCATACGCGCATACACACACGCATACATGCATACACACATACACACACACATACATACATACATACATACATACATACATACATACATACATACATACGTCCATGCATGCATACATACATACATACACACATATATACATATATACATATATACATATATACATATATAATCATATATACATGTATACATGTATACATATGTACATATATACATATATACATATATACTTATGTACATGTATATATATAATAAAATATTTAATTTCATGTTTGTTATGCATGCAGTATGTAGATACACATGTGTGGGCAAAATGTTGATGAACCCAAGCTGCTCGGGGCCATGTTGGACCTTTCCACCTGCATCAACCCTTGCAGCTTGCGTGCTGCAGCCGCTTTTACCGGCCAAAGATCTTGAGAGCTTGGCACTCACGTGTCAAGGGACCCCACTTTGAGAAGTCGAAATAAATCAAATGGATCAGAACTATCAGCAGTTTCAGAAGCTTACCCATCACAAGCTCCTCTTATTTTTACCAATTCTTTGTCAATATGTCGGCTTAGGAATTCCACAGCTGTATGTTGAAACCATCTGGGCCTGGAAATCTAGTATGCTGAAGAATTATGCTGAAGAATGGTTATTCAAAGGTCAAAAACAATTGTTAACCATTTAACCATTCTTTTTTTTTCCGCACGATTTTCAGAAACCCATCTCCAGCAACTTGCCAGACGACCGCCAAAGCCACTGCCGCCCAGCTGCCGCCATGTTTTGGCGACTGAGCTTCTTGGCGATTTCGGCTGGGCTGCTCTTTGGGGTGGACATCGCATCCATTGGAGCAGCCTTGGAAGGTATGGCCCAGGCTGCCGGAGACAAGGGATTGTTTTTTGAGAGTCGATTCTCTTGAAACGTATGCCGGATGGTATTTTCTGGCGTATACTTGTTCATTTTCCAAAGTTTCAAAGATGTTCTTACCATCTTCCAAGGCATTTTGTGCATCGCTGCAGAACTTGGGCTTGGAAGACAATGCCAGCGAATGGGTGGTCTCTGGTGCCAAAGGCACAGATCGAAGTGGGATGCCATATTCCATATTTGGTCCGATCCGAAATCCATAAACTCCATCAAAACATATCGGGGATCAATCACTATGGAGATTTAACATGATTTAACCATGAAACATGGAAATATGATGGGATACCTACCTGTAATTTTCCCATAATTTCGGGGGATGAACATCTGTACATACCAGCTAGGTTTGGTGGCACAGAAGGGGATTGCGGGTTTGACCCGCAACTATTTTGGTACTGCAGGGTACCAATATTTTGACCCATACCGATCCATGCAATGGAAAAAATCCTGACGTTTGGCGTTGCCAATATTTTTCCACAGTTCAACATGGGGATTGCCAAACTTCAAAATTGGGAGTCAAACTTATGAACCCCTAAAATGGATTCAAATGAATTGTTCAATACCAAGACTGATTTTGTGGGTCCGCCGCTACCTCATTTTGGACCCCATAGCCACTTTGAAAGGTTGCACACTGAGAAGATTGAGAACACAATTTTTATAGTACTATCATATGGAGAAAGATGAGAACATCATTTATTTGTAATCCCCCAAAAAATATAGAATATGATAGAACAGTATTTCCAGGATGGTCCGATGATGGCCCCATAATTTCCGGGCAACGAATTTTGAACGGGAAGGCGGTGCTGTCTTCGGTGGCCTCTTTGGCGGTGCGCTAATGGTTTCGAGGGGTCGACGGACGAGCGACTTGGAACACCCAAGGTGGGATGTTGGGCATTGTTGGGCCAAAAGGGCAGTGATTGTTGGGTCCATCCCAAGGTTCCAAGGTGGTCACTATATGTTAGTAACTGTTACTATGCTAAAAATATTGGATGGAACTTGATGGAACCTTCTCAACTCGTGTATCTGACCCAAAACAGTAGTTTTGGGTTGGTGTACTATCCTAAGAATCTGTCAGAAAACCACGGCAGGTGCAGCGTCTCAAAAACCCTCAGCCGCCCATTGCCATATTTCTTTGCAGCACAGCTTGCTATCCACCAGCCTAAGGCATCAGGTTATCTGCCTTGCCTTTCTTTATTGGACTGGCTGGTGGGAGTGGGCCACTCATTAAACTGGGCACTTGGCCTCCCAACAGACGATGTTTTGAAATGAATGAATGAAACCATCATTGATGAAAGGAAAGGAAGACAAAGAACAAATGACTCATTCTATCTCTGGCTTTATTGTTTATTATCACTACTATGGGGCGTAAATAAATTATTAGACGTTCAGGGGAAAACCTTGCACATTTGGAATTCAGATGAGTCGGGGTATATTTTGGCCTGTTGGGACCAGCTGGTTTGTCCATTGGTAT